TCGTAGTGACCATCGAATCGTCAATGGTGCCGAAATATCAATTTACGAAGCGCCTTACCATGTATCAATTCAAACCAAAACCGGCAACCACATTTGCGGAGGCACAATAATCGGTGATGATGAAGTTCTTACGACTGCTGAGTGCGCATCCAAGTAAGATAATAACATTTTTAAAATAACTTTCTGTTATTAATTCAGAATTTCAAAAACTAAAATTATTTTTATTTTTCAGGGTTTCTTATAACACCCACCATATTCGCTACAACACTGACGAGCACAACTGGGGCGGCATTGTTGCAAACATATGGACACCAAGTTCTGTGTATATTCACCCCAATTACAAACCAGGCCAACTATATTATAACATTGCTGTTATTCGTACTGGGCCATACTTTCCTAGCAGCATTTACAATCAAACGGCTCTTCGCTGTTCTGAAGATGAAGTTAATTTTGAAAGGTTGACAGTCGCTGGGTGGGGTTATATTCGAGACCAAACTGGCCAACTGTCGACGCGATTGCGACAAACTGAGTTGCCATATGCCGGAAACACGTGCAAGCGTTACTACCAGTCAATTGGCCAATATATTGATGAAACAATGTTTTGTGCCGGAGATCTTGACCATGGTGGAACGGGAATTTGCGTGGGTGATCTAGGCGGAGCAGCTGTGAAACGGGTTGGCTCATTGAATGTCATCACTGGCGTTGCTTCTCACTTCAACGAGTGCGGAGGGCCAAAGTTGATTAGCCTCTTCACTCGTGTAAGCAGCTTGCATGGCTGGATTCGAAACAGTACTGGAACAAATTTTAATTGTTATTACTAACTTGTTAATACTTTGACAGTGATTAATTTCCTTTATTTAAGCAAAAAAAGTTTGCTGTTTTATTTAAAATAAATTTAAAAGTTCCATTTTTAAAGAATTTTGTTAATTACACAATTTGCATCAAAAAAATAGTGTCAAGCATGTTCAACATAAAACTAAGTTTGCAATCTGCAACTTTATTAGAAAAAAATGTACTTTAATGTTTAATTACTATTGTTAGTTTTAAACTTGTCATAGGTATTCACATGACTGTTTAATTGTCAGTATCTTTGGACTTTTGGTTGGTCCGCCCACATAACACTGAAAAATTTATAAATTCTTTGTTGAAACTGCGTTTTGAGGAACTTGTATTCTCCGTTTGCTCAATAAACCTGATTCTTTATTGCCCTAAACTTGATCTCAAGGTCACTTTTGTTATTGCCTGATTCTTGACGTTTCTTGTAGATGACTTGTCATAATTTAACTGTAAAAAATGTAACGCGTACATTTTTTTATTACCAAAAAAATACAGTCTTATCCTGGATGAAAATGCTCCATTGTGTAATCAGGTGGTTTTCTTGCTAAATGCACTATGATTTTATTGCTTATATTTTAAAAGTGTCGGTTAGTCATTTGTTTTACTGGTGTACTGCCTGCTCTATAAATGGACTATTTGATCTAAATATGAATAATAATTTTTGAGTTAAAACTAGGAA